TGTATCCTGCAACCTTATAGAATTATTTGAATAGTTTTTAGTAGCATCTTTAGGCTTTTCTATGTATAATGTCATGTCATTTACAAATGGTGACTGTTTAACTTCTTCCTTACCAAAAAAATAATTAAAATTAATTTCATCTGTTTTCATTTTTAAAAACTGTACTACCAGAAAATGTAAATTAGTGTGGCTCCTATTGTATTTCTATTGGACAGCACTGGTCTCGGGTGATACAGGGTGCTGTGAGAACCCAAACGGGCCGCATGTGATGCAACCTGGAGGGAAGGAGTGCTCTCTGGAGGAGCAGATGCATCCTGAGCTGAGTCTTAAAGGTTGAGCAGAGATAGTGCAGGTAAGGACACATCTTGAAATATATTCTAGGTGGAGGTAACAAGGAAAGCCAGGGAAAGTGTGGTGTCGAGGAGGAGCCCTGGAAACGGTTGTTCTCCAGCCTAACTTATGAGTTGGACTGGAAGATGATGAAGCCGACCAAGAGGTGAGGCTTGGTATGCCACCATTTAACAACCAGTAGTAATTAATTTCCCTGGTTCTTGTCTTATACATAAGGTCTGATTATGTTTCCACTCTTTGTTTGAAGTTTTAGACTATCAGCTGTTGAAAGTTGGAAGTTTATGTCTCTACAAGAGTAGGACTATCCTGGAAGATAGGACTAATGCAGGCACATATGCTGCTTGGATGGGAGAATGCTGTTTTCCCTTCTACACATAGTCCTACAGAATTGACAGCAGCCGAAAATTGCTCTCCAGAGTATGGGCCTAATGAATGAGAATCTAGAGGAAAATGAGAGTTTTCATACATTCTCATTCACTGGGCCCACAGAGAGTAGACATGACTGCATTTACACCCATTTATCTACCACTGACCTTCAATGGGACCACTTCTTACCCCCGAATTCCCACCAATAAGGAAAATAGTTGACCTTTGAACAACCCAGGTTTGAACTGCACCAGTCCACTTATATGCAGATGTTTTTTATAGTACTATAAATGTATTTGCTTTTAAGATTTTCTTAACATTTTCTCTAGCTCACTTTAAGAATACAGTATATAATACAGATAACATACAAAATATGCATTTGCTGTTTATCAGTAAGGCTTCCAGTCAACAGGCTATCCATGGAGTTTTGAGGGAGTCAGAAGTTGCACATGGATTTTCAACTGTGGAGAGTTGGTGCCCTTGACCTCTGCATTGTTCAGTGGCCAACTGTATAATCATTTATCAGATGATAATAATTTGGAAGCTCATTATATCCATTCTATCCTAAATCATCCTCAGGCCTCCTGCCTTTAGTAACTAATTATTAAATGGATATTTAGGAGGTCATGCAAGGTAAAGAGGAGTAGCAAAAGGAGATTGTGAAAAGCTAAGTGGAGAAACTTGAGAGTGAGAAGATATCTTAAAGGTCTGCTTCTCACTCTTTAGTGTACATGTTCTAATTCATTACATCTAGGGGTGGGAGCAACAATCTGTGCTTTTATCAAGCTTCCAGGTGATATCAGTGCTGCTGGCCCATGGGTCTCACTTTGAGTTACAAGGTCTTCAGAGTCCCTTTAGTACAGTTCTTTATCATGGCTGGAATCTACACTGCAACAGTCCTGATGAGTCATTAGAAGCCTCCGAGGAAAGACCTATAAGCGTGCTTCACCTCCTCTTCCTTTGTGGAGCAAGTCTAATTGTTGGAATAGTTTTTCTAGTGCCTAGATGCTATCTGGGAAATTTCTGTGCATTGGTCCTTGTTCTATTTTTGGAACCCCTGAGATAATGAACCTGATCTCTCTGTCTTGTGACAGCCATTGGAAATTTGAAGAGCATTTTATATTTCCCTTAATTCTTCAATAGATTAAATCTCATCTCCTTTAGCTGTTAATCATAGGACCTTCTGGATTGTCCCAGGAATCCGTTCTTTAAGTGTACTTCTGATTGAGCACAACATTCCAAGCTTTGTCTGAATATCAGAGAGTAAAATGAGCCTATTTCTTATTTGGCTGCTGATTCTCTACTTCTTCCAGGGTCCTCAGTCATCTTGGCATGTTGACTACTCTTTGGGGGTCACTGCTCCTAAGTCCCTCTTAGTGGACTGAGCTAGAGAAATGTATGTATGCTTATGTGTACATTTATGTCTGATCTTCTGATTTGTCCATCCATCCATCCATCCATCCATCTATTGAAACCCTGAGTTTATATACTTTTACTCCAGTTCAACATAGGTTCAGCATAGGTTTATTCTAGTTTTCTCCCTTTCCATGTTTATAACTCCCCTCTCTAGGAGTAAAAAAAATCTGTCTTCTATTATCTTTAATATAGTTACCTGTGTGATCAAACCCTTGAGTAAAATCAATCTTTGGTCCACCACCTCTGCCCTCTCCCCATGCATGCTATGTTCACACCATATGCTCACTTCTTCTGGGACCTAGCTAATAGCTTTTGGAATAAACTATTTGCAAAAGGATGAGAAGGGGGATAGAATGCGAAGGAGGAGAAAGTTGGTTCTCTCTTTTGACTTCTAATTTAGTGAATTCTACGAACAGGTTTTCTAATTTTGATTCATCCTTGGATTTTCACATTGTGCCCTGCTTTGATTTGATTTTTCTACTCTTCCATTTAAGATTTCTTGGTAAGTCAATTTATTTTGCTGATCTGAAAAGTCTTTGTAATGCTAGAAATTTTCTTAGACACTCCCTTTAATTCATCCTCTTTGAATTCTACAGGGAAGAAAGGAAAAATACAAAGTTTTCTCCTGACTTGCATGGATTTCTCCAGAGCCTTTGCTTTTGGAAATGCTACCAGAATGATGGCTGTGTTTTCAGTGGTGGAAATTATTGATAAATCCCAAAAGCAAGGAATCAGAGAATATCTGCTTTCCAGTGGTGATGTATGAATTTTACCAAAGCTACACCATTATTTATAGTACCCTAATGAGGTTTTTTTCATAGAAACAAAAGATTTCTAACATTTTCTGGAATTGCAAGAAAATAAAGGAAAGAAGAAAGAATTCAACTAGATGCCTGTGTGTTAGGCCAACATTGGCAGGGATCAGCCTTAAAGGATAATCAATACTGATACCACTATCCTTCATCTCCTCATATCCAGCCTGCCCCCAAAGATTTTCTTGGAACCCATGAGAAGGTTAATTGAAAAGATAAATCTGCTTTGGAAAGCATTTGCATTTTAAACAGAGATGGAATTTGGGGAAGTGCCATATAGACATTTATCATTCTACAAATCATAATTATTGTCAATGACCTGAAACCTGGAGCAGGTTATGATGGTTAAATAATGTCCGTAGTTTGGCTCTTTAGGAAAGCTCTTGTCCCCTACCTGATCGTTACCACATTGCCTTGGGTGTTTTAGGCCTGAAGTGCATATGTTGCGTATATTTATCTGAGTAGTTAATTTTGGAGGCAACCATTTTGCAGATATGATTTCCTTCCTCTGACAAGGTCTGGGTTGCTCTCCTTTTTATATTTCATTATTCACACTTTCTTCTCCATCTCCCACCAACCCTCCTACCATTTTTATTTAAAGAAGGTATTTATTATGTATGTAGATTTATCCAAAAAGGTCTACATATGCCACATGTGCGTGCATGCGCACATATACCCATAGTACATGTGGACTTCTGTATATGTTCCTTTTAATTTTTTTCTTGACTAGGTCACTCCTGAAAAAACATTTGAGTATTACAAAAGCTGGTAAGAGAGATGAGAAGGATGATACTTTTTTGGTTATGAGGTTTGAATTCATTTTCACCATGATAAGTTGACTGCTGGCCAACTGTGTCTCTCTGTGAACTGAACACTTCAACTGTGTCACTGGCTCCGGTGACCCACAGAGAGAGTAGTTATCCAAATGAAATGCCTGAAAACAAAGAATAATTAGAAGCTGCATTTTAGAAGCATGCTCGTTCATAAAACTGGTAGGTCACATTCATTTTAGAAGTGCAACAGCTGGAATTTTGTCTGAGCCTGTGACACTCATTTGTTCCACAACCATTTGAGAGGCTTACATTTGCTGCACACTGTCCTAGGTGCTGGAGAGGTATTAATAAGCAAAGAGAAACAGGGTCTCTGATGGTAAATTTAACAACTGGTTTTCCCAAAACAAAAGCTCTGATTCTTTGTATTTGCCAATGTCTGTGGTATAAATACTCCCATCATATCATTTCCAGCTACCCATATTCCTCATTGCCTGGCACATAGAAAATGGTAACAACCATCATATTCATAGCTTGATCATAATTATCATCATTAGGCTTACTTTAACATGATAAAAAGAAACTAATGACCTAGAGGGGAAAAGTCTAAGATGTTTGGGTGGAGAAGGATTTGGATTTTGTATGAGAACCTCAGAAAGATGTAGGACATTGTTTCTTTTTTACTAAAAATCCGTAAAATGTGAATTTTTATGAATATGTATTTTATAACTTTTTAAGAGAGAATTTACAATGCCCAAGTGAATCAAGCATAGCTTTCACATTATGTTGGCCAAATAGTGACCAAATGCATAGAGGATACAAGGCAGTTGTTATGAGAGAATCCTATATCACAATATATGAATCATTACTAATTGATTGTTAAATTGTTTTCCTGGTGAAAAGTGACTTTAACTGGTGACAGACGTATTCCAGCTGGTATAGAACAAAGGACTCCAGAACAGTAGCTTAAGATAATGACTGTGTTTATTTCGCTTATAGGTTTGCAATTTTGGTGGAGCTTGGTGGGGACATTATATCCCTTGCATTTGGCATCAAGCACTGTGAAGAAGTAGAATTAGAAGCCTGCAGAGTAGAATTATCTGAAGGGGCACTCCTGGGTTGGCAGTGGATTCTGGCTGTGGCTGCAGTACCAACATGTGGCACCTCCATGTGGCTGCTTGTCTCCCAAAAGTGAAGGTCCCAAAAAAGGGCGAGGTTCAAGCTATAGCACCTCTTACACCCTAACCTTTGAAGTCACACAATATCTTTCTCCATGTTCTCTTAGGGTGGTCACAAAACATCACCAGGACCAAGAAGGGGAGAGAAACTTAGAGTCTACCTCTCTTGGTGGGCAAGTTCTGCAAGAATGTATAGGACTGGAATATTAATGTGGCCATTTTTGGAAAAGACAATCTCCTCCAAGAAATTCTGTCCTTTTGGATGTTACCTGCACTGCATATCTGCAGAGAAAACATGGAAAATTAGCCAGATTGTCTCAGTTGCCCAGTTGAATGTAAGTATGCAACTTCACGTCAAAATAATACTTATGTGGGAAACCCAACAAATGTTAGAGCACAGCCATGCGTTTTTAAATTAATTTCCATGTGAACTGTCAAATATATCTTAACTGCAAAGCAAATTGACTGATTACAGGGATGGTGGAAGTCTACCTTTGCTTGGTTGGACTCTGAGTTTGTATTCTGGTCTCTAAGCTTACTTCTCAAATGCAAAGATAAGGCACAGAAAGAAGATGCATGAATTCAAAGGAATTTCAGATATTCCTCTTAATGCATATAGGTGTCCTTCTCATTACCTGCCAGCCACATGACATACAAGGCTATGTGGAACTTAATGTGGTGCTTGAGAGTCCAATGCATTCCTCCTATTATTTACTTATTAGAGTTTGATTCAGTTCATTCACTTGTATCCACAACATCCAATTGGTTCCCACTGGGGCATGCATAAATAGAACATTAACAGGTGACTAATCACCAGATATGTATGGATTACCCATAGAGTAGCACCTAGAGAATTGTCAGAAAATATCCAATTAATGCAGTCTACTAGATTGGAATCTCACTTTATGGTTAGCCCCAAGCCAGCTGTAAATTAGACATGCAAGTATTCTAATTTTTAAAGACACTATGACTGTAAATTTATATTTCTTTGAATATATCCAAGTCCTTCCCTCATTTAGGAAGATGAGGTCATTGTGTAACAGAGGTCTTAAAAACCAAGCCCTTTTGGCAATTGACATGGAAGACAAACAAAGTGATTCTTCGTTGTTAGATAAATCAAATAGAATTTTAACAAAGTGTGTTCCCCAAATATTCTCCTGTTCAGGTTGAAGACAACCACGAGACATTTGTTTTGTTTTAAAGATTTTATTTATGAGACACACAGAGAGAGAAGCAGAGACACAGGCAGAGGGAGAAGCAGGCTCCATGCAGGGAGCCTGACAGGCGACTGGATCCCAGGTCTCCAGGATCACGCCCTAGGCTGAAGGCGGCGCTAAATCCCTGAGCCACCCGGGCTGCCCCAAGACATTTGTTTTAAGACAATATTTTGCTTTTCAGAAATTTGTTGAAATTTTTAGCAGTGTTTTTTCTCCCATAGCCACATGCCAAAAGAGCAGAATGAGTGAACTGCCAGTATTGTCCCTGCTTCAATGGAGTCCAAATATTGTGTATCCAAATATTTCTGTTCCTTGATGTGTAGTTGTAAGCAACACTTTCTGATATTCCCAGCTCAGACAGTCAGCTTGGTGGTTCACCTAGAACTTCTATACAACTAATTCTTGGGAATCACTTCCCAAAGATGCTACTTCACAGGTCAATATTCTTTAAGAGTTCCCCTTATGATTCTGGGAATCAGCCCAGCCCTGGGAATGAATGATTGAACTAGAACATTTGGTAACTTCTGAAGTTCCTGTAAAGAAGTTTTGCTTTGATAGATGTTGCTGTAGCTCAGGACAAAATGGCGTTATGATTCAATTTCTATCCTTGGTAAACATTTTACAGTAGAAACTCAGGTTTACACTAAACTTTTATATATTGACTCACTTTGTAGGAGAAGCTATAGGTTTGAAAAAGAAATAAGAAAAGGAATTCCAGTTCATAAATCTAATCATTTTCCTCTTGAGCTTTGGGTTTGGGCTGAAATTTTTTTATGTATATAGGAGTGTTCTATATAATGATGATAATGATTATCATTATTTGCTAGATTATAATTGCTAAACAATTATAAACTAAAGTGGCAATTGTTGGATAGAACCTCAAAGAATAAATAAAGCTTCCAGGGCACCTGGGTGACTCAGGCAGTTAGGTGTCTGCCTTCAGCTCAGGTCATGATCCCAAGGGTCCTGAGATTGAGCCCCACATTGGGCTCCCTGCTGAGCGAGGACTCTGCTTCTTTCTCTGCCCCTCCCCTGGCTTGTGATCTCATTCATTCTGTCTCTCAAATAAATAAAATCTTTGTTTTTTTAAAAATAAGGTTTCCACAGCTAGAAGAGTAGATAAAAGATATTTCCAGGTAGAGGGAACCTAATAAAGACACAAATGCTTGAAGTGGCATGGTACACTCAAGGATGGGTGAATAGCTCAGTGTAGCCAGGGTTCAATATATATGGGAGGTAGATATGGCTTGAAATATTCAGTCCTCAGTGATGGAGGCAAATAATTCTATCTTAAGTTCTGTTTCCAATTATCTGGAGGGGCTTTTTGTAGAAATGTGTTAAGATGGATTCTGAGGCTGCATCTGGCTCTGGGACTGATAAGGGCTTAGAAGAAGGGGCAATAGAGTATCAGGGCCCCATATTTTCTTTTTTATACCTTTTCTTAATTTGAAATATATATACTCAATGTCTTTGCCCTGCTCTCGATTCTCATTGTGACATCTTGGGGTATAGTTCGTGAAATGCAGATTCTTTGACAAGGGAGTTTTGGTTTTAATTGCCATTTTAACCCTATCGATGAATACTGTGGCAAGACTCTGCTGGAACCTATGGAAGTGGTGAGAACCAGGTGAAATACAACCCAATGTTCACTTCTGAGTTTCCAAAGCAGTGATCAGTCAAAGGGATAACTGATTAACTATTAATCTGATTGGCTGTATTGATGTCCATTTAAAAGCTATTGGGCATGGGCATACTTTTTCCCAGAAGAAAAAGAGCTAAAGTAGAAATTAGATCCTGCTTCAGTGTTTACCAAGAAAGTTCACACTGACTCTCAAAGCATCTGCATTATGTATGTAACTTTTGATTGGTGAATAATTTTTCAAATTAGTAGTTTTTCAGAAACCAATCCAAATACTTTACATACTCCCGAGAAATTAAAAATGTGTATTCACCTTCTCAAAATTGTAATTGAAACCTCTTCTTATTGTTCCCATTTTTAGTTATACCTGATAGTCTCATTGGGACAATATATATATATATATATATATATATATATATATATATATATATATATATAGGCTTTCCATTAATACCACTTAGAGATTTTATATTTAATTGGCATGGTTTTTTTTTTTAATCCTAGGACTTTCTTGGTGGCCACATTTTAGCACTTTAAAATCAGGATGTGTACACTGTAATGTCTGTAAACATCTCCCCCCTTCCTTTCCCTTCCCAGGCTACTAGTTATTAATTCTATGCTGCTTAGAATTGAGGAAACAGGAAAGTGCATGCATGGAGGATGGATGACCCTTCCTTGTGTTGCAAAAATGGAGAATAAAAACATAACTAAGGCAGATGTGTCTCTCTTCCTCTTCATTTTGAAAGTGGCTCCATGTATATCTGACATAACTCTTCCACAGTGTCTTAAGGTACTGGATATATCTTTCATGTTCCTTTAAGTACTTTATTTCCAACATTTTAAAATTATTTTGGAATAGTAAGGTAATAAGGTTAATTGGTTATTGGTGCTGGAGTGAACAATTTTACTTCTGCCTAGAGATTAAGTTAAAAACCGTAGAATGTAAATCTACGGGGAATGTTAAAGATTTTCCAATTCAGCCAAGGCTTTGGGAGTGAGGCATTGTCCTCTAGGAACCTTCTCTATTTAGGTCTACGGTTGTGCTTGGTCATCCCTCATGGTGATACTATGGCAAGTTCTTAAATATCTCCTGCCCAATTATTTTGACCTTAAAATAGCAATCTTCTAGTTTGACAGACAGCTAGGTTGTGTAATGCTCAGCAAAACACCAGAGGTATTTGGGGGTCAGGCTGCAGAGTTTTGACCTGTCAAGTTACTCAGCACCCCTGAACCTTATTTATTCAAGCCCTTCAGAAAATAATCAGTGTAAATGAGGTTTACACATCTAGAACATGTCAGCACTAGCCTGGATGCTGGGCATACAGTGCTAAACAGACATAGTTCCTGCTCCCAAAGAACCCTGCTCATGAGAATATACAAGGAAGAGTTGCCATTTGCAATTGTAGGGAAATGGGGTACACTGGATAGGTAAACTGTTTAGAGAAAATACTTCAAAGCTGGGATAGAAGTAAGGATGAATGCCTTAACTTTCTTCCCTGTAAAATGGGGACACACTTCCCTTGTCGGGTTATAGTAAGGAAATAGAGACAATGAATACTGTCTGTGAACTGCTGTGTCCAACAGTTCATTACTGGGCCAGAAAATACATATTGAATCATTACCATCAAAAGCAATGGGGATTCAGAAGTGAGTAGGGTACTGTCCCCATCCTCTTGGGTCTCACAAGCCAGAAATCTAGCCCTAGCTCCCGAGGCTGTTCTATTATTGCTCTTGTCCCACTTGCCTATTCATTGTTCATGTGTCTGACTCATAAGAGCACCAGCTTGAGGAGGCCAGAAATGCTTCTCTCTCATCCAACATTGTATGTTCAATGCAAAAATAGTTCCGAGTGGACATTTGCTACTTACCCTGTGCCCTGCAGGAGATGCACCTGGCACCCTGCCCTATCGTCTCTCCCCTAGCTCTCTAGCTCACACCTGTCCAACTTTCAACAGTCAGCCCCAGCATTTATTTGCCTGAAAATCTTCTCTAGCTAATAAGGGAGGGAGCCACACAGTGATAGGGAATTAAGTCCCACCCCAGATGCCCCACATCCTCTGCCTTCTGAGGAATTTGTTCTAATTACTCTATGGCAATAACTCGATTGATAATTTACCTTTGGCCGTTTTGCCTTCTTCTCTTACTTCCCCGACTTCCTTACCAGTGATTTCAGGGGTTTAACTCCCAAATAAACCACTTACATCTGAATCCTTGTTTAATTGGCTGTCCAAACTAAAATGTCCACTCAGCACCCAAATCCTTATATTTAAATTATTCTGCTGCCTATAAAGAGCCCATCTCTCATGATGGGAACTGAAAAGGTCACATAAACTTGCAGTCACGGGTGTGTACATGACCTGTACTTTGCCAATCAGACATATCCACTCTCCTCCCTTAAATTGGAAGCTCATGTCATGAAGGAGGAAATGCCAGAATTGATTATGTTGACAGATGGTAGCAGAGACAGCAATTTGAATGA